ATTTTTTACTTTGTTAGTAAATTAATAAAAATAATTAAGCAATTAATAAAATAAATAAATAAACAAAATAATATGAGAGAAAGGGGGTTTGGGCCTGTATTGGGTGATTGAGAAGCAATTCTGAGGCCCATTACACGCTGGCCTTGTTGACCTTGTGGATCTGATGTGCCTGCGCTGACTTTGCATATGGTGGTCTTTAAAATCTTGGCCACCAGATTTGGCCTTGGGCCATCTGGAAATTGATTGAGCGAGGGAGTATGGTGTTCTGCGTGCTTGAATATGCACAGGAATACCTGAAGAAAAAACATATTGAGAAAGTGAAGGACCTGGGATTCGAACCCAGGTCCTGATGGTGATTGGAACGCACGCTTGCCACTACGCTGTTTTGCTTCGTTTGTTAATAGTATACAAAATAATTATAATATACACAAAACAAATTATATGCCAGAAAATAAATAAAAAACGCGGGCGTGATTTTGAAATGGCCAATGGATGAACGCCAACTCTTCATCCCTGTCCTTCTTCTACTGTAATTTTACCTGCGGATTTGAATCCGCAGCTAAAAACGCAGCTCATTCCAAAAATCGTTTCCTGGCCATAAAAATGACCTTCAAAGGCATGGTGAGGCTCGTCTCCTTCTCCTGAGTGCAACCATGCCCATTATAGGGACCAATTTCACTTGAAACAAGAATCCCTAAAAACAAAAACGCAACCCTAACTATGGTGTTTTGGGGTTACAGCGCCTATAAACCAAATTGAATAATACAAAAAGCTTAGAAATGCTGTGAGGATTTCAAATATGCAAGAAATTTATTCAAATGATGCAAGAATGAAGATTTACGATTTCATGAACAGAGCGAGGTAACGTGATAATTACAGCATGTTTGGGCGTATGAGCGAGCTTGCTTTTGATCCAGAAAGATTGTGTGATCACCCAGGAATCGATTGGGACCGGTCTAAGCTTCTGAAATTGCCTATAAGTACGATTTTGATTTCAAGCTTTTTGGTGAATTTTTCAAACTTTGTTCTGCCTCTTCTTGCAGCCTCTAACCCTTGTTTCGATTCCTTTGGCTTCTTTATGTATGATACAATGTGTTAGGGTAACAAATTTGGACTCAATCTCTCTAAATCAATGCATTGGAATTTGATTTGATTCACTCTTTAAACCTTTCCAATTTTGGCAAAAATCAATCTTTTTGCCCATGATTTTGTTTGATTCGAGTTTGATGATGCTAATGATGATAATCAAGACCTGAAACAACCAAAAAGATCTTAGGTAATCAAAGTTTGGATTTTATATGATTTAATTTTGATTTAAAATGAATAAATTCAATAAAAATCAAATTAAATAATAAAAATTAAAAATGGGCTCATGGATGAATCTAGGACACGTGTGCAATGATGCAAGCTCAAATCAAGTGGAAAAGAGTGGGCCCATTTGACAAAATTTGAAGTTTTGGGGATAGTTGACTTTTGGCAATTTTGCAAAAATGTCCAACTTCAACAATGCATAACTTCTTCAATTTTGAACTTTTGGAAGTGTTCCTTGACTTTTTAGAAATCTTGATATGTCCTATAACCAACCCTTTAGGTCTCATCTCATTTTGATATTCCATGATCAAGTTAGAAGCTTTGGCAAAAAAGGTGTTTTTGTTGACTTTCAAAAATGACCTATAATGTTCAAATTTGTAACTTCTTGTGAGTGCATTTTTTGATCTTGGGGTATGAATATGGATTGTAGGAAATTTAATCCTATTCAAAATGAACTTTGGATGAGTCATTTCTCATAAAGTGTGAGAAAGTTATGCTTGGTCAAAGTTGAGTTGACTTTTCCTACAAAACCCTAATTTAGCAACTTTTGACTCTTGATGAATTTTGAGCAATCCTTGATGAATCATGATCAACCCTTGATAAAATGATGAAATATCCTTCAAAATGAGAATGTTGACAAAAAATCTTGAAGTTTTACTGTATTTAGGTCACAGTTGACTTTTGCCCTAGCACTGTCGATTTTTGGACCTTTGAGCAATTGACTGAGCAAACTTCCTCTACAAGGCTTGAAATTTGACATGGATTATCTTGAGAGCATATTAGGACTTTTGGGAGCACTTGAGGTAACACTAGTGCAGAAATGACTTTTTACATCGGGTAAAATTGACTTTTTACATCGGTTTTGGATCCGATGTAAAGTCAGGTGATATAGTAAATCAGGGACTTTTTACATCGGTTCTGGGACCGATGTAAAAAGTCCCTTTTTTACATCGGTTATAATATTAGAACCGATGTAATAACCTGTTATTATGCACATTTTTTAAAAAATTGATCCAGTTTTTTACATCGGTTGGAAGTAATACCCGATGTAAAAAGTACCCTTTTTACATCGGTTATAATATATGAACCGATGTAAAAAACAATTATTATGCACATTTTTTTAAAAAATTGATCCAGTTTTTTACATCGGTTGGAATTAATACCCGATGTAAAAAGTCCCCAGTGACGCGACTTTTTACATCGGGTATTACTTCCAACCGATGTAAAAAGTCCCTTATTGAAAGTTTTTACATCAGTTTTACTAATAACCGATGTAAAATGTATGAAATTTTTTTGGAATAGATTATTTATTTTCTGGGTTTTTCCCTATACAAATATAATTTGTACCCATTTTTTCATATTTTTCCAATATCAAACAGACTATATTTATGTCGCTATATAGATTTCATAGCTTTCCAACATCACATTTAGGACGATGTTTTCATATTTTTCACAACAAACTTACAAATTGAACAAACTTACAATTACAAACTTGTATTGCAAACTTGTATTGTATTACAACATACAAACTTACAATTACAAATTCTTAACAAAATATAAAACAATATTCAACTATTTATAAGTCTTTTTCAAAACTTACAATTACATAATATTCACAAAATATACATATACTAAAATATTCAACTATTTCTAAGTTTCCAAACTTGAATTACCAATATAAAATCTTCGGTAGACAACACCAAAATCATATTGCCTGACAATAAATAATAACAATTAACATCAGCAAAAAAATCAAGAAACTCAACACATGAGCAAAAATCACATGTATTGTGCAAAAACCACAACTTATACAATTCTATAAAACTCACCAGCTAAACTTAAGTTCCATGTAAGTCAAAGAAACATTTTGCCCAACGAAGTCGCAAATCATACAAATCATCTGGTGTTAATTCTGTTGGGTCATCAAATACCTATAATACATAAATATAACAATATAGAGTTATTTTTTAAAAATTCATATTAAGTCGAAAAACAAAAAGTAAAGAACAAAGTAAAGTTATTTTTAGTACCTGCATCCAATTCTCGGTTATATTAGCAGAGACAATATCCAACATATTTTTCATCACATAGTATCCACAATCATTAGAGTTATGTTGTTGCCTTGTCTACAATTGAATGACATAATTAGTGAATATTTATCGTATATATTTAACTATAGAATTATAATTTACATCACACTTACATTGGGATGAAGCCATGTAGCCTTTTTTCTATTTCCATTTGCCATTTGATGAATCCCAAAAGAACTGATACAGAAAGATATAAACATCACATAACTAAATATACTCGCCAATGAAAAATCCCATAACTATTAGTTGTCAATGAAAGTCATATGAAAGATAAACTTACTTTGTAATAATTTTCTTCGTGTTCTGGTCAATTTCCCGATGAAGTGAACAAAATACGACAACTTCCTACAAAAAAGGCAGCCTCAAAAGCAAACCTCCCAATGCTGGAAGCACCTCCTCAAACCACTTCCTACATTCCTCTCTAGACATTAGCTGAAACAAACAATACAAGTGTTTGCTTTTATTCATCAGCTATAAACAGCAAAACCCATCCATGTCCCCAAAATTCAAGGGAAATCCGATTAAAAATTAAAAATTTGAGGTTTTAAAAAGGTGAAGTTACCTGAGTGGTATTTTACCTCGTCGAAGAAAAGGGCATATCCATGTGCAGCGGAAGGAGCTAAAGGCTCGTGAGAGAGAGAAAGAGAGTTCCTGAGTTCAGTCATGAAGATGAATAAGAGCCGGCCCGAGTCAACTCGGCCACATTCAAGCTCTCTGAGAGACTCCACCACTTGGGACGGCCAAAATAGAGAGGAAGAACGCATCACCACTGGTAAATATGGTAGAATTGATCTCCAATCCTCTCTCTTCTCCATTCTTTTATTCTCTTTAAGGAGTTGGAATAAACTGCTTACAACTTACCAATATCAATATGTGAAGCTAAGAGAATATTTCAAAAATGAAATTATTACTTTTATTAATGTTAAATCGAAAATTTAAATGACACTAATTATTACTAACTCATAAAACACAGATCTGAAATCCCATACAGATAGCAAACACATGAGCAATTATCAGTCATAACCATATAACAAATTTAGCAATGACAACTAAAAATTTTAGTATCAGATTCTTAGCCCAAGATCTGTCCTTACATTGCCTGATAGCTACGATAGGGCTATAGCAGATTCTGAGCCAAATTTGAACACCAAATAAAAGCATTATAATAATTTAACATAAATTCTTTAATTTATAATTAATATAATTTTACATATTAACTTTCGTTTGACACAAATGGTATCTCATTCCTGCACAGTAAGCATAACAATATTTATATAGAAAACCCTCAATGCATTCATATTTTTTAATCAGTCCAAGTAATGGCATTTGGCTATATAGACACAGTATATAAAAACCGTAAAAAGTTCAATATACTCGGCATGCAAGTTGTAACACGACCATTTTTTCACCAAGATAATTTTCTATTTTCAAGATTAATGCAGGAGACCGTATGCTCTGAATTTTATTGTACATTTGGGTGCATGGTGTCATGTATAATTTCGAAACAATTTAAAAAATCTAACACAGAGTATCCAAATCAAACTCAATAACCTGCGAAATTTTATTTTTAAACTACTAGATCAAACAAAATTCAATCCACTACCAGTAGTCAGAACAAGAACACTTGCCACCATTAAAATGATGAAACCGATATGAATCCCTTACTGTGATTTTCCTACCAACAATTTTACTAACTAGCTTGAAAACAGAGTGGCAATCACCACAAACACGAAGGTTCTTGTAAATTCTAATAGTCGATCCTTCGGGACAATTGATCAACCCAAATGCAAGGGCGATTCTCTCACTATGGTTCCAAAGATTATGCTCCTTTTGTTCTTCATCTGTATCTTGCAATGCATAGCTTGTGTCTGGCACATAGCCTTCCTCCCTGGTCATCTTTCTGAGCTCTTCCAACTTTGCATGGATTTGTGCAGTTTGTGTATGAAACTGGTCTCCCATCCCAAAAGTTGTAACCTTGTTTTTCAACTTGATCCAACTGCAGGCTGGCTTCTTCTTTAAGCTGTGTGATTCCATTTGCTTTCTCACAATCTCTACATCTCCCCATCTTTGGGTAGATGCACAGACATTTGAATATAGAACATAGGCCGAATCATCAGATGAGTCCAGCTCCAAAAGATGATCAGCAGCTTTCCTCCCCAGCTCCAAATTTCCGTGTATTTTGCAAGCAGCCAACAAGCTACGCCAAACGAGGTCATTTGGTGGGACTGGCATCTCATCAATGAAAGCTTCGGCCTCAGCAAGCCTTCCTGATCTCCCAAGAAGATCGATTATGCATACACAATGCTCTATTCCAGTAGGGACACCAAATTCAGTAGTCATTAAAGAGAAGTACGCAAGACCCTCATCCACCAAACCCCCATGGCTGCAGGCAGACAGAAGTGAAACAAACGTTACGTGATCAGGTCTCAGACCGATATCAAGCATCTCTTGAAAGGCCTTTGTAGCCTGGCGGAAAAAACCATGTCTGGCCAATGCTGATATTAAAATGTTCCAAGACCTCTGTGACCTACTTTTTGGTAGGGGAAGGATTTTAAATACATCATCGATTTCTCCACATTTTCCATACATATCCATTGTAGCATTTAAAACATATTCATTTGACTCGAACCCAAGTTTAATAATCCAGCTGTGAAGCTGCTGACCCTCATCCAGTACTGTCAAGTTACCAATAGTAGCAAGAGCTACAGAGAAGCTAAACTGATCTAAATCAACTCCGTCATTTCTCATCCTTGCAATAAATTTTAGAGCTTCCTCACCAGGCCCATAATGAGCATTTGCAGAAAGAATGGCATTCCAAGTACTAGAATTTTTATTAGCTAATACATCAAAAATAAAGTTACTTGCATTAAGATTACCACACTGGGCATACATTGTAATTAGGGAGCTTTGGACGTACGTATTTAATTCAAATCCTGCCACAACTATATGTGCATGGATTGGCATTCCGTGTTTCAAAAGATAATCAGGAGACAAACAAGCGCCGAGAAGATTGACAATAGTAATGTAGTTCGAAAGCAAACCTTCTCTTCTCAATAAGTTGAATGATTCGAGTGCCGCATTTGGATCTGTGTTATCAGCATGGCCACCTATCAGTGCATTCCATGTTACCACATCTCTCTCCGGCATAACTTTGCACACTTTTTGTGCTTCAGCCATCAATCCAAACTTCCCATACATGGTGACCAATGTATTGCCTATGATTAAGTTGTGATGCCATTCTAAATTCCAATTATAATATACTTAATTATATGCATCCACATTCCAAAAAGTAAATGAATCAAGTTTGTTACCTTATGAGATGATGTCTTGGCAAAACTTTTTGTCCAGTAGCGAGCAGTATTGCAAATGTCTGATATTCTTTGAGGTACTGCTTTAAAAGTCAAAGAAAGTAACAATTAAATAGTTGAATTCATTCTTTCAAAATTATATATCCTTGAAAGTCAAATGCAAAATATATGATAATATCCCCTAAAAGAAACTGCAATATAACAGAAAACACATTATCAAGGATCAACTTTTTTAAAGCATTTCTCACAATGTTCTCCTAGTTATTGATATAATTAATCATTTATTTCTAACTAATTTATGTCATAATAGAAGACATACAAGTTCAAATCCAAACTCAGGAGAAGAAGATTTTAAAAACAATTCGTAAATGCGAAAACGGCGGCGACAAAACTGTATTGAAAGGTGTCGATATTGATACTATTATTCACTATTTTTAAGATAAAAAATAAATTGTGATTAATTCATACCGCGACGACGCAATCACAGTTATAACATTTGTACCGACCGAAATTGCAAAGATCTTTACGCGACTCGGTCGTTATTTAAAACATTGGCCACTCATCCTCTGCAGCAACATTAAGAATCACTATTGATATGAACATTTGTAAAATTACTCTTGAAATTCAATGGATAATTTGGCCTTTCCTCTAACACAATGGGGATGTTTTCAATTAAATGAGTTTGCACCTCTTAAATCAATAACAGAGGTGTTGTAATGGATATGAATGTAAAGTAATCAAATCACAGCATGAGTGAGCATAATCATGAAGGATAAAAAGCTTGATGACCTTTTTAATCATACATAACAACAGAACATTCAAGAGAAATTCTATTCAACCAGTGAGACAGTGTACCTGATAAGAGAAGAGGGCAGGCTAGAGGAATAGCGTCAGAAGGAGTATTGAACAAAAGAAGTGGGTTTATGAGGTTTGACGAAAGTTGTATGGGTTATTCAGTTGCAAAATGAAAGAAGTGTGTTGTGAACATGAGGGTTTCTCGGATGGTTCACGGTGGTGTTGTTCGGTGGGGAGGGATGGTCGAACGGAGGAAGGTATCACCGAGTAACAAGTTCGGTTTGAAAAGAGGGAGTAATGGAGTGTGGGTACGAGTTGGGTGGTGGCCGAAAAGGAATGGCGAAGGGATGAAGAGGGAATAGAGACTAGGTTTAGAAGGTTGAGGTGGGTTGTTCGTTGAAGCAGATTGTGAGGGAGTAATAGGTTTTTTTTTTTTTTTAAAATAATTCTTAGGATTTTACATCGGTGGGATATTTCCACTGATTTAATAGTTTTTTTTTATTTTAAATAATGCTTAGGCTTTTACATCGGTGGAATATTTCACCGATATAATAGGTTTTTTTTTTTAAATAATGCTTAGGCTTTTACATCGGTGGGAACTTCCACCGATTTAATATGTTTTTTTTTTTTCCACGTTTTTATTAATTTTCAATATAATTTATATATTAATTCAAAGAATCATTTTTTACATCGGTTTGTCTTTAGACCGATGTAATAGCTTTCTTATATTTTTTTTAACTTTTTTGTCACCTTGTTTCTTATTTACAAAAATGCCACCGTGTTTTTTTTCTGGAAATCTTTTACATCGGTGGATGAGATTACCCGATGTAATAGGTGACGAAAAAAAATTTTTCCCTTATTTTTTATATCATTGGAAATAAATACCTGATGTAAAAAGTTTGTTAACTGTATTTTTTACATCACCTATTTTGATACCCGATGTAAAAACCTTTTCTCAAATATCTTTTTTTTAGTAGTGTAATTTGGTCTCAAGGACCTTGATGCAACATAAAACCCTAATTTGGGGTACACTGCCTTATGAGATAGCTTGTCTGTCCAACTTTTGAGCAATCTTGAGCCACTTGGAGATTTTTCTTGCAATGTTTTGAGAAGTATGAGAGGGAAAATTTTGGGGTACAACAGCTGCCCCTGTTCAATCTTCTTAAACCTGAGGATGTAGATTGGCTTTCGTGCCTTTCGTGATCCGAAGATGGAAGATGATTGAACACTAGAGTGCCCAGAAATTTGCACTCGCATGAAGTGGTATCAGCCTTGTGATGTCGGGAATGGGATTACAGATGCCATTTGGAGATTGCTGGCGGGAGGATGGGCTTAAAGATGCCATCTGCAGTAGTGTCGATCGCATAAGAGATTCCTTAGCGAGAGCTTGCATACCTGTTGTTGTGGAAGATTCCGCTGGGGAAATCTAATTTTGTTGAGATTTAGGAACTTGCCTGTACTTCAACTGAGAGAACATCTCTGCTAAGTTTTAAGAACTTGTCCGTAATTCAACTGGGGGAAATCTGTTGAGATTTAGAACCTTATCTGTAATTCAACCGAGGATAATTCAATTGAGATTTAAGAACCGGTCAGGTCTTCGACTGAGGAGGATTGTCGAGATTGAGAACCTTATCTGTAATTCAACCGAGAATAATTCAGTTGAGATTTAAGAACCGGTCAGGTCTTCGACTGAGGGAAACATCTTCATCAAGATCTAGGACTGTCTGGTCTTCAACGGAGGATAATTCTGTTGAGATTTAAGAATTGTCTGTACTTCGACGGAGGAGAATTGTCGAGATTGAGAACCTTATCTGTAATTCAACCGAGAATAATTCAGTTGAGATTTAAGAACCGGGCAGGTCTTCGACTGAGGGAAACATCTTCATCAAGATCTAGGACTGTCTGGTTTTCAATGGAGGATAATTCTGTTGAGATTTAAGAACTCGTCCACACTTCGACGGAGGAAAATTGTCCAGATTGAGAACCTTATCTGTAATTCAACCGAGAATAATTCAGTTGAGATTTAAGAATCGGTCAGGTCTTCGACTGAGGGAAACATCTTCATCAAGATCTAGGACTGTCTGGTCTTCAACGGAGGATAATTCTGTTGAGATTTAAGAACTCATCCACACTTCGACGGAGGAAAATTGTCGAGATTGAGAACCTTATCTGTAATTCAACCGAGAATAATTCAGTTGAGATTTAAGAACCAGTCAGGTCTTCGACTGAGGGAAATATCTTCATCAAGATCTAGGACTGTCTGGTCTTCAACGGAGGATAATTCTGTTGAGTTTTAAGAACTCGTCCATACTTCGATGGAGGAAAATTATCGAGATTGAGAACCTTATCTGTAATTCAACCGAGAATAATTCAGTTGAGATTTAAGAACTGGTTAGGTCTTCGACTGAGGGAAACATCTTCATCAAGATCTAGGACTGTCTGGTCTTCAACGGAGGATAATTCTGTTGAGATTTAAGAACTCGTACACACTTCGACGGAGGAAAATTGTCGAGATTGAGAACCTTATTTGTAATTCAACCGAGAATAATTCAGTTGAGATTTAAGAACCGGTCAGGTCTTCGACTGAGGGAAACATCTTCATTAAGATCTAGAACTGTCTGGTCTTCAATGGAGTATAATTCTGTTGAGATTTAAGAACTCGTCCACACTTCGATGGAGGAAAATTATCGAGATTGAGAACCTTATCTGTAATTCAACCGAGAATAATTCAGTTGAGATTTAAGAACCGGCCAGGTCTTCGACTGAGGGAAACATCTTCATCAAGATCTAGGACTGTCTGGTCTTCAACGGAGGATAATTCTGTTGAGATTTAAGAACTCGTCCACACTTTGACGGAGGAAAATTGTCGAGATTGATAACCTTATCTGTAATTTAACCGAGAATAGTTCAGTTGAGATTTAAGAACCGGTCAGGTCTTCGACTGAGGGAAACATCTTCATCAAGATCTAGGACTGTCTGGTCTTCAACGGAGGATAATTCTGTTGAGATTTAAGAACTCGTCCACACTTCGACGGAGGAAAATTGTTGAGATTGAGAACCTTATCTGTAATTCAACCGAGAATAAATCAGTTGAGATTTAAGAACCGGTCAGGTCTTCGACTGAGGGAAACATCTTCATCAAGATCTAAGACTGTCTGGTCTTCAACGGAGGATAATTCTGTTGAGATTTAAGAAATCGTCCACACTTCGACGGAGGAAAATTGTCGAGATTGAGAACCTTATCTATAATTCAACCGAGAATAATTCAGTTGAGATTTAAGAATCGGTCAGTTCTTCGACATAGTTGAGAACCTAACTGCATCCTTCCTGACAAGTAAAGGTCAGTTGTATGCAATGCATGATATATATCAAGCAATGATGTTCTCAAAATAAATGAGATTGTGTTTTATGATGCGTATATGCATGTGTCATGATGTATGGAAATGTAATGTTTTTAGCTGGGGAAAATAAATCCCAGATAGCTGCTGGAGAAAAGAGTTGAATTCTTCATTTCCGCTGGAGATAGCGAACGGAGATGATTGCGAGAATAAACCTGCAGGAGAGGATAACTTCGTTGGGGAATAAACTGATGAGGAGATTACTCTGTGGGGGAGAGATGCTCTGCTGTGGATTCCACCGATAAATTTCGCTGGGGATGACTTACCGTTGCTGGTGATACTGAATCCTGTTGGGGATTGAATTTCTGTTTGTGAAAGGAAAGAACTCCGCTGGGGATAATCTCTCAGTTACGGCTTCACTGGGATAACCTTTTATACTCTTATGTGATAATCCTTTGAGTTCTGCTGGGGATAACCTTCCAAAGTCTACCGGGGATGATTCTTCAACTCCACTGGGGAGGCTTTTTCAGACGGCGCTGGGAAAACTTTCAAACTCCACTGGGGATATTTTGTATTCTGCCAGGGAATATTCTTATACTCCGTTGGGGAATATTAAGACTGTCGGGGACATTAAACCTTTTCAGTGTTGATGGTAGATAAACTCTGCTTGGGGAGAATATTACCGATTCGTTCACAGTTGAAAAGTCTCAGCTGGGGAGAGCTATCATTACTGTCATACTCTGCAGGGAGTGAAAGT